CAAGAAGCCAGGGAAACAAGCAGGAAGAATAGGAAATCCTGGCACAGACAAAGAACTATGATGTTATTGGAATAACAGAGATTTGGTGGGGTAGCTCACATGACTGGAGCACTGTCATGTATGGGTATAAACTGTTCAGGAAGGACAGGCAGGGGAGGAAAGGTGGAGGAGTTGCACTGTATGTAAGAGAGCAGTATGATTGCTCAGAGCTCCTGTATGAAACTGGAGAAAAGCCTGTTGAGAGTCTTTGGGTTAAGTTTAGAAGCGAGAGCAACAAGGGTGATGTCGTGGTGAGCATGTGCTATTGACCATCAGACCAGGAGGATGAGGTAGATGAGGCTTTCTTCGGACAATTAACTGAAGTTTCCAGAACACATGCCCTGGTTCTAATGGGAGACTTCAATCACCCTGACATCTGCTGGGAGAGCAATACAGCAGTGCACAGACAATCCAGGAAGTTTTTGAAGAATGTTGGGGACAACTTTGTGGTACAAGTACTGGAGGAACCAACCAGGGGCCATTTTCCTCTTGACCTGCTGCTTACAAACAGGGAAGAATTGGTAGGGGAAGTAGAAGTGGGTAGCAACCTGGGCAGCAGTGACCATGAGATGGTTGAGTTCAGGATTCTCACAAAAGGAAGAAAGGAGAGTAGCAAAATATGGACCCTGGACTTCAGAAAAACAGACTTTGACTCCCTTAGGGAACAGATGGGCAGGATCCCCTGGGAGGCTAATATGAGGGGGAAAGGAGTCCAGGAAAGCTGGCTGTATTTTAAAGAAGCCTTATTGAGGGTGCAGGAACAAACCATCCCAATGTGCCCAAAGAATAGCAAATATGGCAGGCGACCAGCTTGGCTTAACAGAGAAATCTTCGGTGAGCTTAAACACAAAAAGGAAGCTTACAAGAAGTGGAAGATTGGACAAATGACCAGCCAGGAGTATAAAAATATTGCTTGAGCATTCAGGGGTGTGATCAGGAAGGCCAAAACACAACTGGAGTTGCAGCTAGCAAGGGATGTGAAGGGTAACAAGAAGGGTTTCTACAGGTATGTTAGTAACAAGAAAAAGGTCAGGAAAAGTGTGGGACCCTTACTGAATGGAGGCGGCAACCTAGTGACACATGATGTGGAAAAAGCTGAAGTACTCAATGTTTTTTTTGCCTCAGTCTTCACAGACAAGGTCTGACAAGGTCAGCTCCCATACTGCTGTCCTGGGCAACACAGTATGGGGAGGAGGTGAGCAGCCCTCAGTGGTGAAATAACAAGTTAAGGCAGGGGTGGGCAAACCTTTTGGCCCGAGGGCCATATCTGGGTATGGAAATTGTATGGTGGGCCATGAATGCTCACAAAATTAGGGTTGGGGTGCAGGAGGGGCTGAGGGCTCTGGCTGGGGGTGTGGGCTATGGGGTGAGGCCAGAAATGAGGAGTTCAGGGTGCGGGAGGGGACTCCGGGTTGGGGCAGTGGGTTTGGGTGCGGGAGAGGGATCAGGGCTGGGGCAGAGGGTTGGGGCACAGGAGGAGTCAGGAGTGCAGGCTCCGGGCAGCGCTTACCTCAAGCAGCTCCTGGAAGTAGCGGCATGTCCCTTCTCCAGCTCTGGCACTGCCCCATCTGCAGGAGCTGCCCCTGCAGCTCCCATTCACTGCAGCTTCCGGCCAATGGGATTTGCAGGGTTGGCACTTGGGACGGGGGCAGCGCGCGGAGCCCCCTGGCTGACCCTAAATGTAGGAGCCAGAGGGGGGACATGCTGCTGCTTCCGGGAGCCTTGGCACGCACACACGGAGCGGCCTCCGACCCCGCTCTCCGGCGGGAGCGCGGGAGCAGGGCAAGCCCCAAACCTCACAACCCAGCAGGAGCTTGAGGGCCAGATGAAACCGGCTGGAGGGCCAGATGTGGCCTGTGGGCCATAGTTTGCCCACCCCTGAGTTAAGGACTATTTAAAAAGCTGGATATGCACAAGTCCATGGGTCCAGATCTAATGCATCCGAGGGCGCTGAGGGAAATGGCTGATGTGATTGCAGAGCCGTTGGCCATTATCTTTGAAAACTCCTGGTGATCGGGGGAGGTCCGGGACAATTAGAAAAAGACAAATATAGTGCCCATCTTTTAAAAAGGGAAGAAGGAGAACCTGGGGAACTACAGACTGGTAAACCTCACCTCAGTTCCTGGAAAAATCATGGAGCAGGTCCTCAAGGAAACCATTTTGAAACACTTGGAGGAGAGGAAGGTGATCAGGAACAGTCAACATGGATTCAGCAAGGACAAGTCATGCCTGACCAACATGATTGCCTTCTATGATGAGATAACTGGCACTGTGGATATGGGGAAAGCAGTGGACGTGATATATCTTGACTTTAGCAAAGCTTTTGATAAGGTCTCCCACAGTATTCTTGCAGGCAAGTTAAAAAATTATGGATTGGGTGAATAGTATAAGGTGGATAGAAACCTGGCTAGATCATCGGGCTCAATGGGTAGTGATCAATGGCTTGATGTCTATTTGCAGCCGGTATCAAGCAGAGTGCCCCAGGGGTTGGTCCTGGGGCAGGTTTTGATCAATATCTTCATTAATGATCTGGATAAGGGGATGAATTACACCCTCAGCAAGTTTGCAGATGACACTTAGCTTGGGGGGAGAGGTAGATATGCTGGAGGGTAGGGATAGCGTCCAGAGTGACCGAGACAAATTGGAGGATTGGGCCAAAAGAAATCTGATGAGGTTCAACAAGGACAAGTGCAGAGTCCTGCACTTAGGAAGGAAGAATCCCATGCACCGCTACAGACTGGGGACTGACTGGCAAGCAGCAGTTCTGCAGAAAAGGACCTGGGGATTACAGTGGATGAGAAGCTGGATGTGAGTCAACTGTGTGCCCTTGTTGCCAGGAAGGCTAACGGCATATTGGGCTACATTAGTAGGAGCATTGCCAGCAGATCGAGGGAAGTGATCATTCCCTTCTATTCGGCACTGGTGAGGTCACATCTGGAGTATTGCGTCCAGTTTTGGCCCCCCCACCACAGAAAGAATGTGGACAAATTGGAGAGAGTCCAGAGGAGGGCAACGAAAATTATCAGAAGGCTGGGGCACATGACTTACGAGGAGTGGCTGAGGGAACTGGGCTTGTTTAGTCTGCAGAAGAGAAGAGTGAGGGGCTTTTGATAGCAGCCTTCAACTACCTGAAGGGGGATTCCAAAGAGGATGGAGCTCAGCTGTTCTCAGTGGTGGCAAATGACCGAACAAGAAGCAATGGTCTCAAGTTTCAGTGGGGGGGGGTCTAGGTTGGATAGTAGGAAGCACTGTTTCACTAGGAGGGTGGTGAAGCACTGGAATGGGTTACCTAGGGAGGTGTGGAATCTCCATCCTTAGAGGTTTTTAAGGCCCGGCTTGATAAAGCCCTGGTTGGAATGATTTAGTTGGTGTTGGTCCTGCTTTGAGAAGGGGATTGGACTAGATGATCTCCTGAGGTCTCTTCCAACGCTACTATTCTATGATTCTATGACTGAACTCCTTGGGGGAGAATTGTATGTCCCCTGTTCTGTTTTACTCGCATTCTGCCATATATTTCCTGTTATAGGAGGCTTGGATGGTGACCCAGCACATGTTGTTCATTTTAAGAACACTTTCACTGCAGATTTCACAAAATGCAAAGAAGGTACGAATGTGAGATTTCTAAAGATAGCTACAGCTCTCGATGCAAGGTTTAAGAATCTGAAGTGCCTTCCAAAATCTGAAAGGTGTATAGAAAATGCTTTCAGAAGTCTTAAAAGAGCAACACTCCAATGCAGAAACTATAGGACCCGAATCACCAAAAAAGAAAATCAACCTTGTGCTGGTGGCATCTGACTCAGATAATGAAAATGAACATGTGTCGATCCGCACTGCTTTGGATTCTTATCGACCAAAACCCATCATCAGCATGGACGCATGTCCGCTGGAATGGTGGTTGAAGTACGAAGGAACACATGAATCTTTAGTGCATTCAGCACATAAATATCTTGCAATTTCGGGCCATAACAGTGCCATGAGAATGCCTGTTCTGACTGTCAGGAGACACTGTAAACAAGAACCGGGCAGCATTATCTCCTGCAAATGTAAACAAACTTGTTTATCTGAGCAATTGGATTAACAAGAAGTAGGACTGAGTGGACTTGCACGCTCTAAAATTTTGCATTGTTTTATTTTTGAATGCAGTTTTTTGTACATAATTCTACATTTGTAAGTTCAACTTTCATGATAAAGAGATTGCACTACAGTACTTGTATTAATTGAATAAATTGAATTAATTAATTGAAAATACTATTTCTGGTTTTTTACAGTGCCAATACTTGTAATCAAAAATAAATATACAGTGAGACTGTACACTTTGTATTCTGTGTTGTAATTGAAATCAATATATTTTAAAATGTAGAAAACATCCAAAAATATTTAAATAAATGGTATTCTATTATTGTTTAACAGTGCAATTAATTTTTTTAATCCCACCATTAATCACTATTAATTTTTTTTAATCACTTGACAGTCCTACTAATTTCCAATTGTTGTATATACTAAAGAGAAATTGGACCTCATCAAGTATTTTGGGGAATAGGGGCCAAGTTTGTTTAATACGCTCATAAATACAAGAGGAAAATGTGACAATATCAATGATTAAATATGTTAGGTTAATGCCTTCCATTTTAGGCACAGGAAGAAATGAAATTCAGCATGCTTTAAGCCTACCTTTTTGCAGGCAATTTCTGATGGGTTTTACATGATTTATGGAATTTGGACACTAGGGATGATTCAAAGGTATGGCTGCAAGGAAGTAAGTAGAAAAAATACTATCTTAATTAAGCTAATTAATTAAGCTTAATTACAATTTCTTGGGAAATTGTTGCAATTCTTTACTCACCACTAAACCTATTTTTAAAGAAATGACAAATGTTTCGAAAAGAATATTGGTTAAAAATGTTCTTGTTAAAAGTACATGACTAATTGAATATATAGCAGTAAATGAGCTCCAGCCTTACCGTACGGATCGATCATCACTGCCTGTGACAGCTAAAGGCTTCTTTGGATGGACTGCCAGGGCCCAGAGCTCCCCTTCACAATGACCCTGCATTATCAGCATTGGTTTATCTCTTTCTCTCACTATCACCTCAAATATTTCACTGTCCTGTGTCCCTGCTAAAAGTCTGTCTCCTTTCCAACAAACACTTCGGATGGACAAACCTGACAAAGAACAGAGTAGTTTTAGGTCACCAGTAATAACAAGACAAAGTTATATCCAACATAATAAAGAATAGAAATTTTAAAAATTCCTTTATAACAACTATATTTTGAACTTACTTAGTGTCTTCAGTCTGAAGACTGAAGGCATTTTATAGCTTACCTAGCTATAAAGCTAAATAGAAAGCTATAATTGCACTTCTATGAGATAAGGCAAATATAATTATTCCCATTTTACAAATAAGGAAGTTAAGGCACTGGGAGATGCAAGGGCAATCCTGAGAAGCGCTGAATGCCCAGAACTCCTACTGCCTATGGTGGGAGTTGAGTGTGCTCATCATGTCACAGAATCAGTCTCCTAAGCTTTGTCTATAATGGGGAAATTTACCCCCCAAAAAATCCAACTTTATTTAACACAAATTAACCTGTGTTAAAACTTGTGGGAAATTTAGATTAGGCTAAGTTCCTGTGACTGGAACTGTTTTTAACATCATTTTCATTAGAATTGCTTTTTAAGCAGGCTTAACTAAAACTGTGATAAAAATGATTCCCGTAACCACAGCCTTATCTACACTGTGACTCTCAGTGGTTCTATTTTTAAATTTTGGTAAATTTCTCCAGAGGGAGACCTGGCCTAAGTAACTTACTCTAGTGTGTGCAGGAAATCTGTGGCAAAAGTGGAAGTGATATGCAGATTTTCCATTTATCAGTCCAGTGCTTTAAACACAAGAGTATATTTGCCTCACAAAGCATCCTCCTTCCTGCTTTTTTTATAAGGAAAAGGATTATTTTTAAACCACAGTGAAGTGGGTCCTTCACTACAAGAAACAACCCTCACTTTAAAACCAAATATACATCTATATCACAGACAGGCTGAGATTTCACTGTTATTGTAAATTAAAGAATCAAAATTAAATCCTCAAAGAATCAATCCTGATGCACTTGCATGAGACGAAAGTGATCAGGAACAGCCAGCATGGATTCACCAAGGGAAGGTCATGCCTGACTAATCTAATCGCCTTTTATGATGAGATTACTGGTTCTGTGGATGAAGGGAAAGCAGTGGATGTATTGTTTCTTGACTTTAGCAAAGCTTTTGACACGGTCTCCCACAGTATTCTTGTCAGCAAGTTAAGGAAGTATGGGCTGGATGAATGCACTATAAGGTGGGTAGAAAGCTGGCTAGATTGTCGGGCTCAACGGGTAGTTATCAATGGCTCCATGTCTAGTTGGCAGCCGGTATCAAGTGGAGTGCCCCAAGGGTCGGTCCTGGGGCCGGTTTTGTTCAATATCTTCATAAATGATCTGGAGGATGGTGTGGATTGCACTCTCAGCAAATTTGCGGATGATACTAAACTGGGAGGAGTGGTAGATACGCTGGAGGGGAGGGATAGGATACAGAAGGACCTAGACAAATTGGAGGATTGGGCCAAAAGAAATCTGATGAGGTTCAATAAGGATAAGTGCAGGGTCCTGCACTTAGGATGGAAGAATCCAATGCACCGCTACAGACTAGGGACCGAATGGCTAGGCAGCAGTTCTGCGGAAAAGGACCTAGGGGTGACAGTGGACGAGAAGCTGGATATGAGTCAGCAGTGTGCCCTTGTTGCCAAGAAGGCCAATGGCATTTTGGGATGTATAAGTAGGGGCATAGCGAGCAGATCGAGGGACGTGATCGTTCCCCTCTATTCGACATTGGTGAGGCCTCATCTGGAGTACTGTGTCCAGTTTTGGGCCCCACACTACAAGAAGGATGTGGATAAATTGGAGAGAGTCCAGCGAAGGGCAACAAAAATGATTAGGGGTCTAGAACACATGACTTATGAGGAGAGGCTGAGGGAGCTGGGATTGTTTAGCCTGCAGAAGAGAAGAATGAGGGGGGATTTGATAGCTGCTTTCAACTACCTGTAAGGGGGTTCCAAAGAGGATGGCTCTAGACTGTTCTCAATGGTAGCAGATGACAGAACGAGGAGTAATGGTCTCAAGTTGCAGTGGGGGAAGTTTAGATTGGATATTAGGAAAAACTTTTTCACTAAGAGGGTGGTGAAACACTGGAATGCGTTACCTAGGGAGGTGGTAGAATCTCCTTCCTTAGAGGTTTTTAAGGTCAGGCTTGACAAAGCCCTGGCTGGGATGATTTAACTGGGAATTGGTCCTGCTTCGAGCAGGGGGTTGGACTAGATGACCTTCAGGGGTCCCTTCCAACCCTGATATTCTATGATTCTATGATTTACACTAGTAATAGTGAATCATGAGTCAGGCAATATAATTAATTATAAAAATTAAATAATTGATTCCACATAATTTTAAGTCTCTATACTTTTGGGTCTGACTTTCCATTCCCCCAGTGTAAACTGGGAATAACTCCAGTCAAAAGAGTTACACTGCTGTAAAACTAGTACAAGGAAAAGGATAATCAGATCATATTTAGGTTTTGGGAGGTAGAGAGGCGTAAATACGTCTTTATAGTTACTTTTTCATTTTCCACAGGTTTAATCTACTGATTAAGTTTATTTTTTATTTTAACGTCAAGCCTAACATTACAATCAGATTTCATGCTATCTTTTTAAATATGCAATATTTTTGCTAATTTGTGGATCTGCCTACATATATTTGCAAAATTAGATTCCTTTTTAACCTGAGCAATTACCATAGATGAATTTATACAAAGTCATTTATTTAAGAACTGTAAGTAATGGGTTTTATGTGATATGGAAAGTGATTAATAATTTCTATCTCTGGGATACCGACAGTGTCTGTATTAATAAAGTACCTATGGATGAACACCACAGAATAGTTAATCTCATTGGAGACAGGCTTGGCATCTGCTTTGTCAGAACAGACTCCTTTCTACTATATAAACAGATGTGCCATGTCCCAGAAATATGCAAATGGAAGTGATTTCAACCTCAAAATATCATTATAAACATTTGTCACTGAAAACTTCACAAAGAAATGAATCTCTAATTGATTAGTTTTAGGTTTAAGTTTCAGATCATTCAGTTCACCATTTATTCTGCCAGTTCATTATGCTTCCTCTTTTACATGCACAGCTTCTGATGCTATTTGTTTCTAAAGTGAAAGTAAAAATGTGCAGTTGTTCATACTGTTCTCTTCAATGACTTAGGATTCATAAAGTGAGTTACTGAACTATGATTAAAATTTTCAGACATGCCCAACTACAGGGATGAAGGGCGTTTTCAGATAAAATGGGGCAAGAGGCTCAAGAATCCCTGGGAAGGGTTTAAATTAATGATTGTGGGAAGCAAGGAGCCAATCGGCACTTCTCTATCAGGCTGGCCAACTGGCAGAGGAGCATGTAGCGGGAGCAGAGGCCTATCCCTGCATACACTTCCCCTTTCATTCTATCTAAAGCTATCATGTACCTGGTGGATCCAATCAAGTCTCCCACCCATTAAACCAGGTGGGTAGCATTACAGATACTTTAATAAAAAGAAAAGGAGTACTTGTGGCACCTTAGAGACTAACAAATTTATTTGAGCATAAGCTTTCGGATGCATGCGATGAAGTGAGCTGTAGCTCACAAAAGCTTATGCTCAAATAAATTTGTTAGTCTCTAAGGTGTCACAAGTACTCCTTTTCTTTTTGCGGATACAGACTAACACGGCTGCTACTCTGAAAACAGATACTTTAACGTTTACTGAACTTTCAGTCTTGATTTTTCTCATGTTGCCCAGTCCGAAAAGCCCTGAAATCAACTTCTTGACCCTGCCTTACATATAATGTAGAGACTCTGGGCTCAGTTTTGCAAAGTTAAGCTCTTCACTTAGATGGCCCAATTCTGTATTTGGACATTCAAATAGGCATAAAGGTATGTCCATTTTTAACACAGTAAGAACCAATTTTAAGAACCAAATATGGGATTGGCTATCAATTTAGGTAACTAAATGTGAAGATTAGGGCTCTCTATCTCAATATCTCCTACAAGAGAAGAAAGTCTGCTGAGAATGAACACTTTAAAATAAGACAGTAACAACTTGATAGCATTTTCTGTCTGGTTGCCTGCTTTAGTAAATTATCAAAAAATCAGTAACTTCTGTAGTGGGATGAAGTATGGGGGGATGAAATGAATGAATGAAAAGTCAAATTGTCATGTTAAAATCCATGACAAAGTCAATTCCAGCTACAGATTTTATAATAAAACAATACTTGAATAAAATATTGTTAAATGTTGGTATTTTATTATTGCTTTATTATTTTAATATTGCTTGTCAATAAAATCCCCACTATGAATAAAATATATGTATTAGCATTTTGTGCTGTCCCCTTGAAAGGGATAAAAGAATGTTCATGCCTTCTGTCTTGCCAACTTCCAAAAAAACACAAAAACACAGAAGATGATTTAGTCTGTACCGTTCCGTAAGTTATCTAGGAAATGGTTTAAGCTCAGGTCTTACAACACCCTCCTCCTGAAGGGCACCAAAATCAGCATAGGGAATGGAGTTCTGATATCCCTTACAAATCCTCAGTAATTGCAGTAAAGCATGGTGTGTAGACAATCTTATGACATCTACACCAAACCTATTTTAAATTTCTAGAGAGAAATCATTCCTAGTATATATGTGAAGGAAACTGTATTCTTCATCAAGTGTACTATTAACACGCTGGTAGATTTAGATTTAAGTGTAAATGCTGTGCTAGTGATCAGATTGTGTATAGTGGCTGTGAGAGACTGACAATTTCCAGCAATATACTGAATGAACTTTATTGAATTAAGTTTAACTTTACTGAAATAGGGTTAATACCTTTGGGGTGCATTGTATTAAAAATGCAATTGTGTACATGTTATTGTGGCACTGTATGTACCTTCTCTAATGGTGATGGAGGATGTCACTGTACTTCCTCCCTTATCAACCTTTTGGAGCCATGGCCTTGGAGAGGTATGCATATACAAGTTCAAACTGGATTCTCCAAGGACCAAAAGACAAACTGGTTTTTAACTTGTTCATGACTTTTTTCCTGATCAAGCAAACAGATGGGAC